AAGACACGGATTAAGTGATAAAAGTTTACAGGTAAAATTTATGAACACGAAATCACAATGTACTCATTCTTGGCTAGTTCTTTTGAGAGACCAGCAGAGTTTCGAAGAGATTCTAGTGGATTTTTGTTAACAAAGACACAGATTAAGTGATAAAAGTTTACAGGTAAAATTTATGAACACGAAATCACAATGTACTCATTCTTGGGTAGTTCTTTAGAGAGACCAGCAGAGTTTCGAAGAGATTCTAGTGGATTTTTGTTAACAAAGACACAGATTAAGTGATAAAAGTTTACAGGTAAGATTTATGAACACGAAGTCACAATGAGAGATTATTTATAACCCTATGACACACAAACTTTATCTTGATCTTATACAATATGTAAAATAAAATTAAAAAATATCAAACTGGTGTAGACCAAGGTTGCAGAAAATTACTCACACATATACAATGTGCACCTAAGATTTTGCCCAAAAGAAAGATATTCCTGAAACATGAAGAGTTGTGTTCATGGAAACAACTTCCAAAATCTTGATAAGTAGTGTTATCTAATGAAAATTAAAATGATCATACCTTAGTTTACATTTAAAATATCAATATTTACTACTTGGAAAAGAAGAATGTTTTAATCTTATTATATTTCCCAAACAAGCTGGGTGAAAAGTTTTGTTTTATATCAGTTTCTATAAAAAATTAAAATTAGTAAAGCATAAAATAATCAACTTTTTGTTATATAATGACATCTTCTTTGATGGTACTTATACTGTTCTATAAAAAAATACTGTTTTAAGCATTAGGGTCATGAGTTACAAAGATCTTGCAAGGTGTAGTAAACCAAAGATCTCTATAAATGTAGTTTTATTTCTGTGTATATAGAATGTGTAGTACATAAGATATTTTATCTGAGGTGGGGTGTATGCCTCCTACCCCTAGTAATTAGCAGTAAGTAAAAAAAGTCCAGAAGATTAGGTGTCTTTGACCTAAAGCTGTTTGGTGGTTTTGTAATCCTGGAAAGGATAGTGTGAATAATGTTGAGATGAGTAAAATGTACTGTCTCCATAGCTTACAGAAGGCTAAAAACAAACAACTTGAGAGGAAACCAAAATAAGTTCTGTAATACAATTAGTATAATTTAAGCACAGATCATAATATCATATGAATAAAAATATAATAATATTTTAATCTTATTATAATTGGCAAAATGTAATTTTTATTGAAGCTCTTCGATTATGTATTTTTTTCAAGTATTTTGCAGTTATGTTTTACTCAAGTTCATGAAAAAATTATTTTTTTTTTATACACTTATGACCTTAGTGCTTACCATGAAAAAAATTACTACTTTGTTTTAATAGGTTTCTAAGTTTTTAGAGACTTTATAACAAAAGACGGATGACCAGTATTAAAACCTGAAATATTTATAGCTCAACTTTGTAGGTGTTTATTAAATATACCTAATACATTACACTTTTCATAAAACCTATCAAAAACACTTACAGGACTTATGAATAGCAATTATATTTATCATACGGTATAAAAATGTATTTGAGTACTGACATATTTTGATAAATGTCAATTAATACTATTTAGTTAATACTGCACAATAAATGTCATGTATTCTAGAAAATAAAAATCAAACAGCACAGATAGGTTTCAATTGCGAAACTATATTAACAAACTAATTTGCGTTACTATTCTGAAAACAAAAGTATTCCACTACGATGATAATTTACAGAGCAAACCAGTCAATTATGTGGTAAGATACTTATTTACTGTTGTATAACATATTAAGTGTTTAAAACTCCTTATCTGACACTGTTCTGACGTTAGGGCTCTGTGGTGTAACAATATATCTCCACGTGAACTTAAGATATCTAAATCTGGAGACGTTTAAATCCTCGTTTCTAAACAAACCTACCTGAAATTTCATGCTGTGCATAATTATAAGTCATGGGCACAAGGTGCAGCATAGAGGTGTAAGACTTGCGAGCACGACTGTCTGAGGATTGGACATTGTCAGGTATTTCTCCAAGAAAATGGATCTTCTCATACGCACCTAAGTATCTGTTGAAGAAGAAGTAAATTCAATTATTCAGTGAAGCAGCTGCTTCTATACAGTCGCTATGCTACTAAGACGTCATCTTCACACTCTTCTAACACACCACGAGAAAGGTAAAGGCGGTACCGTCATAGGCTGAGGGGTGATCCTAGTGCGAAATCAGCTGACGCGATTACGTCACATTGTAGTGACCTGGCAATCATCCAAATCTGGACTGCACGTGGACTTACATTCGGTACACAAGCACAAACTCCGGTCGTTTCATTCACAAGAAACAACGCCAACGTCGGTCGCTAGTTAGTTCCGTGTTCGCTCTTACTAACACGTCTACAAAGTGTCGTCAAACGACATTAGCATTGCTGGCAAATTCCCATGACAAGTGGAGTACAATAGCAATTGTGGATTTTAAATGGGTTGTTCGTAAGCTATAGAAAAACTTTGCATATAACGTTGAACTTCGGTCACTGCTAGTTTTGTCTAGCAAAGCAGATAATATTTCTATATTTATTCTATTTAAAACATAAAATCAACCTTTTCAGTAGTGCCACTTAGAAGGGGTGGGGTTTCTAAATAACCTTTATCATCAGTTGGTTTCAGTAATTTTTAAAAAAATTTTTACCTATCAATTTGGTAAACATTCTTTCCTCCTAAAAGTAAAAGTTTAATTAAATCAAAGTTACACACGTGCACTCTCTAATAGTATTATCCACTGGGTATTTTTTACATTTCATTGCTTAGTTACCCAGCATCCCAAACAATTGTAAGCCACTCCCGTTCCCCGAAGGGTAAATGATAGTATATTTGTAGCTACCCTCCCCCTACCCCCACTGGTTTTCGTGAATAAGCAGACACACGCAGACTTTTGTCAAATAACGGCTTTTAAGATTAGCAATGAAAGTGGAGAGACTGAACAACCTAAATTCTAACTCATCGAGTACAATCACCACTCTTGTTGTGTTCAGTCGAACTTTCGACACTGTAATGGTGAGTGTCGTTTTGTTTTAGAATTCATTTATGCGCAAAGAAACAAAATGGGCTATCCGTGCATAGCCTTTCCTAATTTTGAGCTGATACACTACAGGGAAGACACCGATGCCCAGCACTTGGGTTACTCTTATTTGACCGACTAATGAGATTAGACTGTCACTCTTATAGCGCACTCATGACTTCAAAGCGCGAAATGAGTATTTGCAGCAACGAGATGCGAACCATCAATTCGCGGATTCACGATCCGAACACACTAACCACTTGGATACACACACACACACACACACGTGTGTGTGTGTCTGTGAGTTCATATATAAATGTACCATTATATTTATATTTTCTTATACAGTAACTTTATTTATTTATAGATATTTATTATTTTAACTTTATTTATGCTAAAACTGTATTTATTTTTAAAACATATTTCAGTTTGACACAGAAAGATATACATCAGTTCTTCGATGAAAATATCAACAGTCATCGGTTTGAACATAATAGTAATTCTATCTTACAATTAAACACAAGTGTTTTTTTTTTAAATACATTAAGTACCATACGGAAACAAACACTCGACAAGCGGAGAGAAAGCCATACACGCCAGGAAAAAGTAAACGATAAAACTACTACACGCACGTGACTCAAGCACGAGAATGGCCTTTGTGTAGGATGTACACAGAGATTTGTACACAATGCAAATACTCAACTCAGCCGTAACATGGAGCATTTTCTTTCACACTGAAAATGTAACATTAAACATGAAAGATAATCAACTCGCCAAGTTATTAGTTGTGTAATATTATTAACAATGCTTACTCTTGTACGAAATGCACAGAAAGTAAATTAAAATGATCATATTACAGATTTCTCTTTTCAACAAAGGTAAAATTGAAAAGGAAATCTGTGAAGAAAGGTCATGGAAATGTTGCTGATTTATCATTATATAATTTTATTGGGCTGTAGATAAAAATAAGTAATAAATTTATTACAAGTTTTAATCATTTGTAAGGCACATGCAATATAAAAAAAAATCAACAAAGACATACACAAAAACTATGTGCTTTTGTTTTATTCATTAGCAGACCATAACACCAATGCGGAAAACCCGAAATGGTTACCGTACAACAGAGAGCTTAGTTTGTCCGACTACACGTGAAGTTGACAAGGTAATACGCTTGGAAAAAGAGTATATCAGTCTTGCCGGATACGAGAAGTGAAGTTATTCCTCACTCCCAAATACATCCCGTGGGTTGCGGACATGCATACAAATTATTCACGTTCATTTATTATATGAAGTTTCATATTATAATTAATATTGCCATAGATGTTATATTTGTTAGTGTAAGGAATACTAATTAATATTGCCATAGATGTTATATTTCTTAGTATAAGGAATACTAATTAATATTGTCATAGATGTTATATTTCTTAGTGTAAGGAATACTAATTAATATTGCCATAGATGTTATATTTCTTAGTATAAGGAATACTAATTAATATTGTCATAGATGTTATATTTCTTAGTGTAAGGAATACTAATTAATATTGTCATAGATGTTATATTTCTTAGTGTAAGGAATACTAATTAATATTGCCAAAGATGTTATATTTCTTAGTATAAGGAATACTAATTAATATTGTCATAGATGTTATATTTCTTAGTGTAAGGAATACTAATTAATATTGCCAAAGATGTTATATTTCTTAGTATAAGGAATACTAATTAATATTGTCATAGATGTTATATTTCTTAGTGTAAGGAATACTAATTAATATTGCCATAAATGTTATATTTCTTTGTGTAAGGAATACTAATTAATATTGCCAAATATGTTATATTTCTTAGTATAAGGAATACTAATTAATATTGCCAAAGATGTTATATTTCTTAGTTTAAGGAATACTAATTAATATTGCCATAGATGTTATATTTCTTAGTGTAAGGGATACTTTTGTACTGTCAGACTACAGTGAAGGCAGCTAGTCATCGGCACCCACCGCCATCTCATGATCTACGCTGATCGAACAGTGGGATCTGACCGTCACTCTTATAATACACTCATGGCCCTAAAGTTCAAAGCGCATTTTTTTTTTTGGCAGTAATTGCACGTGAACCATGGCCAATCAGGTTTATAGTCTTACATGCTAACCACTAGGCCACACCCATCCCAACTCTGTTGCATTATGGACTGCTATCCAGTTTTTCATGCAATTTATGAACTTTTCCGACAACGTGAATTATCCACGTTGGATAAAAAAAACTTCAAGTCATCAATCAGTAGCCACGTGATTAGGCTAGTTTCCTCTCAGGTTTCTATTTTTAACATTATATGAAGATAATATATAACCATTAAAACTCTATCAATTATTAAAGATAATAATGATAATTAGTGCGTACAGCGAGGAATGTCATATTTAAAGTGGCTACTACTCAATACAGAGTTTAAACTTAATATCATGTTGACATGAAACGTTTCTCTACAATATTTCGGGGCTTCTCGGGTAGAATCGGGAAATAAGTTTCTTTTATCAACTGCCTGAAAGTGGCCGAAAGACGCTGGAGGGTTCACCTGTTTTAACCACATATATACATCATCAGTTTTCATGGAGAACAACTATTATAGTGTTTCCTTTTGTTCATGAAAGCTAATGATGTATATAGCGCCTACACCAACCGGCCTGGTAACACTGTTACTCGACAACAGGCTACGTCGGCACTGGGTAAGACAGATGTAGTGTGTTAGACTTATTATAACATGTTATTCCTTACTTTCACTCATAAGTTCCTGGAATTAGTAACGTAATTTTTTCCCATTGACACTGTGGTTGCTTACCCGACCCGGGAACAAGAAGACCGGTTTACCAGTTCTGGTAGAATAATATCATAGTTAATTTAAATAAAATGATAATAATAAAAGTAATCAGTGTTACGAATAAAATAATAATTTTATGTTACTAATTCTTACCTTACAAATCTATTTTGTAAATTACTTAAATAATAATAATTAAAAGATAATATTTACAATACACTTCTTAATCTGGCTCACACCATAACAGTTGTTGTCCATGAAAATTGATGATATATATATATATATCGCTTAGACCACTACTCTTTGCATACTCCTCCCGGCCTGATGAGCCTTGGTATTGGGCAAAAGGCCTCGTCGGCACTAGATATGGCACAAGTAGTGTTGTTGACATATTATTGGTTCTTACGATTTAAAACCTGAACGTTGTTCAGACACTAACCAGGAAGTAGCAGTTGGGGAAAAATATTTTACACAATCGCGTTTTTCTTTTTTCATCACATTAACCTGAAGCAGCAACACCCTCTGGTGTCATTCAACAAATGGAAATCAGCGATTGAACAGCACATACTTCATAAAAAAATACGAAAGTGCTGACATTTAAAACAAATTAATGGTAAACGAATGGTTTATGAGTCATTACAAACTCAAGATATACATTGACGACGTTACCAAGCGACTCAGCACCAGCTTCCGCTCGTGTGTCATATAAACATACACACACACACAACTTAAAATTAAATAATGCTTCAGTTCTTATCGTTAAAGCACATTAAAAACGTTAAGATTTTATTTACGTTTGGCACATTATACAGAATTGATGCACATAAATAAACAGCAACACAGGTCTATGTAAGAATCCTATATTAAACATAAGGTCGATAATAATTCTGTTAAAAATATATGATGATGAGAAATAGCTGAACTTTCTGCCCATTCCATAATAAACAGACATATACACGAGTATAAGAATAGGACAAGAAAAAATACAAAGTAATAAATGTGCATTATCATATTAATGAAATAAAGATGTGCTGTATATGCACATTCTTTTTGTATCTCTTCGATATTTCCATCGTACTGTAATATATGTACATACAGAATAAAATAAAACAAAAGAAACGGTAAGTTTCGCACTTTTAAGGCTGCGAAAAGAACATCAAATTACATTCATGTGATGTAAGGAGCGCCCTACCGCGAAAGCTGTGATATAT